TGGGGACGAGGTGGTGGTGGTGACAGAAAGGCCTCATCAGGAGGGACCCCGAGAGTAAGACACGCCAGAGTGCAGGCCAGCGAGCACAGTCGTACGAGGGGGTGAGGATGCCGAGGCTCTGGAGACCGAACCTCAGGGCCATATGGGCTTGCCCTCGTGCCATGAGGTGAATACTTAGACCATGGGGATGCCTTCAGCGTCGAGTTCCCGGGGGAGAAAGAAGAAGACTGCCATGTGGCACGACACTGCCTGCTTTTGGTGCAAGAAGGAGGGGCATAGAGCCGTGGACTGTCCAGAGCTCCTTGAGGATAAGGCGGAGGGGCGGGTTGCAGAGGTCGACGGCAAGTTCTATGACAGGCAGGGCAGGATAGTAGAGCAAGCTCCAGATGGGGGCAAGGCTCAGTTGTATAGGCAGAACCAAGAGGAATTGTGTAAGTAGGGACTGGTCTGTCTATGTGTCTGTAGGGTCAGAATAGTGGGCACACAAGGGGCGGGTTGGAGGTGTACATATGTTTACTTGGTTGAGGGAGTCCTAGATGTATGCGCGTTTTAGAGGTGGTAGGTTGAGTCCCGGCCTGCTTATATATAGTTGCTTGCGTTTTCGTTGAGTTGTTCCTTCCTGGGCTACGACATAGGGCATGAGGGTTGGCCGTAGGACACATGGGGCTATTCAGTCCACTTTTGATTTCGCAGTGCGGAGACTACTTGAGTTTGAGAGAGACTTGAATATGAGTTTTCCCGAGTTAGGTGAGACAGAGGGTTAGACACACTTTAGATTCTGAGTAGATGTTGTGTCCCCGAGCGTGTTCCGCGGGTGTAMAGTGGGGTCGGGAGCCATGCTMAGATGGACAGAGTTTGASTTGAGTGTTTGTGTTTGWGTCTTGAGGGAGRCATTCTACTCCCTKAGTGTATCATGAGTTGAGATTCTATGGGAYTTGTCTTGTGACGACCACTATCACTCTCACAGGTGTGATTTTATCCTGATGTATGATTGGCTTTGTGTGAGAGATGTACAGGATACATCTCATGGGCATGATTGTGTAAATTGTAAAGTTGTCTACCTTCCGGTATACTCGTGCGGTCTGCTGCAAGCGGACGAGAGGGCGGAGTATAAGGAGGGGAAGTGCATCCTGTTTGTGAAAAACTGTGAGAATCCTACGGGATTGATGGATTCAGAAGTTTGCATATTTGGTCATACTGAACACCGTTGCCTAAGTTGTACAGGAACCCAGAAGGTGGTCCCTCAGTTTGAGTTTGTTTGATGATTAAGACCCCCCTTCATGGTTCTGGGAGGCGGGAATCGCATTGTTATCAAAGCCCCTTCATGGTTGGAAGAGGTTGTATGAAGAGTTATCTCATACAAAAAAGGGGTGGCCGTGAAACCTTTTGTGAGATGCACCCCTTACCAAGTAAGGGTGGGAAAAATTTGAGTGGTATGGAAAACATTGTTTATGTTGATAAGGCCTAACGAGAGGGAGCTATGTTTGCTTGAAATGTTTCAAAAGGGCGAGAGATGCCTCAGGATGGGCGACTGCTGGCTCTGATTAAGTCAGGAGCTGTGGCCTTGTGGATCCGACGAGGAGAGTGTTTATGATTGAGCGAAGGGTGCCGTGCCTATTATAGGAGGGCAAATAAATGCCTTCAGACCCCTTCGTAGTCCCGCAGCGGCCCGTGAATTATTTGTGATGCCCCGCCGGGCCACCTGTGCTAATTCTGAGACATATTTGAGGGAATACCAAGCTAACGGTAAAGTTTAGTGCCACCTGGGCGCAACCCCTAGTGGATGGCTGCTGACCGGCACAACCTGGCTGCGGGCCCGCGAAGTAAGAGTTTAAGGGGAGTTGCCCGCCCCAGAGAAATTAACCCGCGGGATAGGAGTCGAGTCTGTTGGAAAATCCTGATTGACTAATTGTCAGGAAAAGCGCCTATCGCTGTATAACCAACGGGAGGATACCGCCGCTAAGGTAACAACGCGGTGGGCCGTGGACCTGGCCCGATCAACCAGGCTATGGTGGGCTCAGATGGAGACCTGGCGTTTCTGTACTAGACTGCAGAAAAGGACGAGAGAGGCTATAAACTATATGTATGTATTTTGGTTGATGGTGAAAAAATTGTTGAAAGAAGGCAAGAATGCCTTCACAGGTCCCATTCAAAGCCCGCGTCCCTAGTTATGGCTGTCTACGAGAAAGAGGCTAACTGGGACACCCAACGAGGGACCGGCGGTTGTCTAGGACAAAGGGGAAGAGGATGGTTTGAGGGCCTTTGGAACTTATGCTGTAGTATTGATGCGTAATACATCGGCGTCCTGGTGTTGGGACAATCGAAACCCAGGTTGAAACCCTGGCAGCATATAGTTGTGTTGGCACGGTTTGATGGAGGCCTCAACCCTGAGTCTGTTGGCTAATCGGATTGGTTCTGATCTCGTCAGCATTTGGAATGTGAGGAAATCTATAGCTTCTTGATTTGGCGACGCGACGGGGACGTTGCTTAATATGGTCCGGTAAGCTGTCGGCGCGAATACCCTTAGAAGGGTATCCGCCCTGTTTTTTGCAAGTGACAGAAAGGCTTGCCCGTGAGGGAAATGTGAGGGTCGTCCGCGCCGCGCGCGGGTAAAAGTCTGCCTTGTCCCGGTAGGGAGTATGTGGGCGCACAATTTTGAGGCGCGCGTGTGATTTTCCGGTTAAAGTGGGCGGCCGGTCTAGTCGACCGGCCCGGATCGTGTTACGGCCTTGGTTAGGGAGCAAAAGTTTGTTTTTGGTCGGTGCGCGCGGCCCGGCGGTATGGTTGGCGCGCCGGTAGGCGTATGGAATGACCCGGGCACAGGCTGGCAGGCCGGCGGAGACGCTTAGGGACTGTGAATGTAGATGGGGGCCGAAGGAGCGGCGGAGGCTGTACCTTGGCCTGAAGGCGCCACGTGATACCACCTTATGTGGGAAGCCGCGCCTGCTGGTCACAGGCTTGGTCCTAGCCCTATAGGTTACGGTGTTGGACTATTGCGACGAGCGGGGATCGAGGCCAGCAGGCATCAGCACAGGAGCAGCGGAGCACCGAAAAAACTGAGGGGGTCGAGGGCCCGACGGGGCTATCCCCCCTTTGGTTTTGCTGGCCGGCGCGGCAGCGAGCCCGATTGCGGGGGCCGGCAGGATACCGGCAGTTCACACCCCACTGTTTGAGGAAATTCTGTTATTTTTTTTATTTTTCAATTTTTATTTTTTTTACGCTGTTTTTGTTTTAACTCTAGGACCCGGCTGGTGGGCATATCTGGGGGTAGCCGAGGCCTGCGCATGTATCAGCACCCCGGGCAGCCCAGGGGATCCTTTCACGGGTTGATGCAAGGGCAGCCGCGCGGGGGTGGGGGGGGGGGCACTGTGGGGCTCTGTCCCGAATAAGATGGCACAAAGAGGGTTCACGTGGTCCCGCGAAGGAATAACGTGCGATGAGGCAGGGGGATGGAACAGGACGTATGTCTGGCTAGGTGCGCGGCCGGGAGAGCGAGGGGAGAAGACCGGATGACCTTTGGAGATGTTGTGGGGTGCCTGTCACGGTGAAAGTCCCCCCAGCTTTGGCCAAGATTGGATCGACGAGATCTGGATGACGATTGTGTGAAGGCTAAGGAGTTCAGAACGGGAGGGGGGTGAACCCGACTGTAAGCCGGGTCGGATGCATGCAAGAGGGAAGAAGGGACGGGTCGCTGCCCACAGATTTTTGGGAGATCTGTCGGGGATCGGAGCCAATGCGTAGGGGATTTGCATGGCCATTGTATGGGGCTGGCGCGCGAGAGCTCGGGGATGTACCCGGACAGGAAACAGGGGAAGGCGTATGCGATAGGGGAGGAAAGGGGCCAAGCGGCCTCTGGAAGCGTCGTGGGGCGCTGCCAAACTTAGTAGCCCAAGGAATGCAAACACCCAAGATGAGACCAACCACGATAAGCTGGAGGAAGGAATTGAGCGTCCTACAGCGAAGGTAAGAGATCGAAGTAGTCCTAAGAGCAATGGACCGTCGAAATAGGTTCCATAGCGTCGTCACGTCCGGGATGATTTCTCACCAACGGTATCAGCCTGATCCTCCGAAACTTCCACACTTGCCGGGGGAAACGCCTTCTTGACCCGGTGCGCGACGATATTGTCTACTATTTGCTTCACCCCCACGTACTTCACACCTTCCTTATCGCAGATAGCCACAAGTGCATCTTTAGTCGGTCCTCTCAATGACTTCCTCTCTTCCTTGGCAAAAACCTCTTTCTCCTTATCATCTGCCACCGATTTGTCCACATCCATCTTCTCTTTACCCTTGCCGGTACAGGCTTCGTCCATCTTCGAACGGAGGTTAGACCGAGGAGTCCTCTGCAATATTTCTCGTTCCATTCGTGCGATCTTCTCTTTCACCTTCTCCAGATCCTGCTCAGCCTCCCTTCGTGCATTGAACTCACGAATGCGCATCTCCTCAATGGTTTCGACCTCTAGTCGGTGCATGTCCGAAATCTTCTTGAGGTCAACTGACATCACCGGAGACTTGAGGGGTGTCGACGTGGAAGGGCTTGAAGTTGTCTTTGCAATAGCTGTATTCAGCGCAATGCATCCACGTTTCCGTGGTCGCAAAGCCTCCTGCTGCCACTTCTCCGCGTCTGCCAGCGCCTCATCTCGTGCACGAATAACGTCATGCATCTCTTTTTCTACCAGCTCCAGCCGCCGCTTCGCCATAAGAGCCTCATCCAGCTGGCTCTTCATCCGCTTCTGCTCAGCCAGTAGCTTCGCAAGTACACTATCATCGTCATGGACCGTCCCTTGGACGGAACTTATCGAAGCACCGGCCCGCATCGCCCTTCCCCCAAGCTTCTCCACCTCCTTACGCAGAGCCTCGACTTCATTATTGTTACCTTTGCCACGCAAAAGGTCAACAACACCATCCAGTCTCGTATTCATAGAATCGGTAAGTGACTTACGAAATTCCTCCCTATCCTTCCTTTCTGCTTCACGTCGTTCTTCATTAGTTTTTTTTTTTTTTGCCTTTTCTTCTTCAGCCTTCATGTTTTTTTCCTTCTCAACTTCAGCATCATGCCTCATCTTGATCTCGGCAAGGATATGCTCCAGATAATCAAGCCGTTGCTTTGCTTGATTCCACCCAAATCCCCTGGGAAACTGCTTGCACCATTGTTAGTAACCATAGTATTAGCATTGGAAGACGATGTGGAAGGCAAGGTGAGCAGGGGTTGTTGGGCAGGGATAAGAGCAGAATGAGGGTTAGCTGGTTTAGGATGAGGACACTATCTAACGAAATGACCCGGATCGCCACAATTATAACAAGTACGTACGATCGTGGAATTATGAACATTAGACGCCATCTTCCGAAGGTGCAGGTGATAAGAGTGCTACATGTAAAATATTGAAGCCACACAGACACGTAGTATTATCCCTACGGTGGTTACTCCGTGAAACGAAGCAGTTGACGCACGACTCGACAAACTGACTTCACGAAAAACACTCTTCGACCAACACAGGCATCAGAACATAGTCAACATAAAAAATGACGACAGTGGTAGCAGATAGAGGAAAAACGAGGGATGACAAAAGGACAAGAAGCAGCGCAAGTGCATGTAACCCGGACGCGACGTTGATTAAAAATATAACAATGATAAACAGCGGGTGGACCTGACATGTTTCGGCTGGTCCGCTACCCAGCCTCCTCAGGGATCTTGGTCGTCGCAAGTGCAATGAGTAAAACGTGCACTGCGTATATATAGCAAAGTGGGAAGCAATTCGACCTACAGCTACCACCGCTCAAAGAAACCACGTCCCAAAGATGTTGTCGCAAAACTAAACTAGATACGTGAACATTAACTTAGATAAAAACTACAGAAATTACTACTCTCAAACCGACACCGGTACTCGACAACATACGTCCAGGCTCAGATACCAATATGTACCACACAGGGCCGACCGCAACTCGAAACCAAATAAGCCTCCAGTCATAATACCTCCGCGTATCGTATAGAAAAAACACGCAGGTCTCCTTATACCCAAAATATGACCAAGTAAGGGGCACGCGAGGAAAAAAGAAATCAGATCCAACAGGACCCGATTAACAAGAGGTGCGCTAAAGAACCGACCACCGTTGGAAACCTCATAGGTCCCCCTATGTAAGGGGTGTTTTTCCACGGCCTATAGCTGGGCCAAGTATTGGTGGTAAAAAAAAAAAAAAGGGGGAAATACCCGTTTCGAGAAGTATCATAGCAAGTATATTGGTCCTCCCCTTCATTGGGACAATCTACTGGCAAAAGTTGGGCCCGTTTCCGGCCTTCTATAACAAGGAACCGCAACATTGGAAAAACAAGGTGGGGGGGGAATAGATTGGGAAAATGTCAGAAGTACTGTTTTTTTTTTTTCTCTTTTTTTCGGAAAAAAACATTCAATTTTTTATTCCTTCAATAAGACCAGGTCTGGGACCTCACAATTCGACCTAAAACTACTTAGTGCAAGGAACATGAATGTGGACGAAGCACAGAAATCCAAATCGCAAAATCACACTGAAGTCCAAGTAGTCAAAGCAAGAGCACATAGCACAATGGAACCAAGTAACCATCCATTTGAAAACGATACAACAGAATCGTGAGTCAATGTCCAAGCCCAATCGGGCAACACCAACATCATAACCCAATGTAGTTCTCTCTCTTGAATGACGTTAGGCGCCCTATCTACTCTACAACCTATACCTACAACTACAACATGAAAGCAACCAGACAAATTGACGACCAGCGAGTGATGACGTCAACACCAATGCCAACCTCGCTCTCCTCAGGTACGTCTCTCTCTTCACCCTCACTCTCCCTTGTTATCCCACACAGCGCCCTTCACCTCCGACCACCTTCGCCCTTCACCTTCTCTGCGCCCACAGCAGCCCGACTATGGCCGCTAGCGCCCTGCGCCCAAGCTGCGCTCTACCGCTCAGCGCCAGCCTGCTCTCCCTCAGCCTAGCGCAGCGCAGGCACACTCACAATGCAGCAGCGTGCTGGCCTTGCTCGCAATGGCCAAAATCCCTGCCCACTCGCACTCTCTGTCTATATGCCTTGCTGCGTGTGGGCGGCCTGCCTTGAGCCTGCGCCTGGGTCCCAGTACCTGCGCCCAGGCCCAACACAGATATGGCCCAGGAAGTACAGTTGCGCCCCTTAAGCCAGGGCTGTCGCTTGCCCTTCACTTAGGGCGGTCACATGTCTGGCCCGCCTTTACTTAGGGCGGGCACGAGGCTTGCTGGGGTCCTATGCCCAATACATATGCCCTTCACTTCGAAAATCCGATGAGATGCTTACTTCGCAGACGCCTTCCCTTTTAACATTCTCGCATACTGTGCCACCATTTGAGCAACTGTGTCAATCAGTTCCTCTCTGGTGAACCACCGATCTTCTTTCAGATACGTATGATGCCTGAATCTGACGCGATACTCCCGCTTGGATCTTGGAGGTCTTCCTCGACCCAGTGGCTTTGGAACAGGCATGTCCCTGTGATTCACAATATCGTCGATGTCCACTTGGCCATCCATGGTTGGGGGCAGCATTGATCTCCTGGAAGGGAATTGATCTATCTCAGCGAAAGGTGCAAGCTTTGAGGCATGAAAGACAGGGTGAGTGCGCAGGTGACCAGGGATGCGGATAACATAGGTAGGACCATCCAACTCATCCTCGACTATGTCCAAGGCTTCCCAGGGACCAAAATACTGAGGCATTAGTTTTCGAGAGCTGCCGAATTCCTGTCCTAGCTCACTAGCCTTGACCCAGACGCGTGCCCCTACCTGAAATGGGGACTGTCTACGATGCTTGTTCTCATAAGCAATCATTGCTTGCTGAGATTTCTTGATGTTCTCGACAGCTTGTTAGAGCAACTTTTCATACTGCACACCATACTCGAGTGTGCCTGGAATTGTTGAGGATCGGTTTTCAGGCAGGCGGAAGTCTAGAGCTGATCTAGGCTTTCATCCGAAGTGCAGCTGGTTAGGACTAACGTCAATACTGCTCTGTACATCGTTGTTGTACAGGCTGGCTATGAGAGGCAACTTCTCATCCCAATCATCCTGGCTGGGCTTGATGTAATGCCTCAGCAGGTGTTGTACAACTCTGTTCATCTGCTCGCCTTGTCCGTTGGCTTCGGGATGATTCCCGGATGTCATATGAAATTGACTGCCCAATCGCTCAGCAGTTTTCTTCCACAGGTCACTTGTGAAACATACATCTCTATCACTAATAATTGACTTTGGCAATCCGAAATCACGTACCCAGTTGTCCATAAACAACTTGATAACGTGTTCAGTCTTGGCGGTCTCTAGCATGACAATTAGTCTAGCGTATTTTGTGAGTCGGTCTATGATGACAAAGATGTGCCTCTTGCCATTCCTACTGGTCACCAGGGTGTCCATGAAATCCATGGAAAAACTCTGTCCTGGACCAGCGGGGATAGGTAAGGCTTCGGCAACCCAAGCGGTGCTTGAGTTCGCGGTTTGTCTCGCTGACAGAACAGAGAATCTGCCGTCAAGCATACATCTCCAACAGGAGATGTTATTTTTTGTTTTGATTATCTAGTTGTTACAGACTTGCTGACAACTGACAGACAACTACAGAGAGACTAGACATTTGCTGTATTGCAATCTGTTCCAGGGTAATCTAAAAATAAATGTAATATATCATGTAGGCCCTGACATTAGTTGTAATTATATCACCTAACTGTTTCGTCCCATCCAACCGAAAGTAATTGTGTTTCATAATTGGTTGTGTGTCAAGCTAAGGTAGGATTCAGTGTGGATTCTAGTTTAGATCACACACACTGTAGCTCATGAGTGATGCAAGCACAAGTGAGGAGGAATCGCTAGTGAACGACCGTAGGACTACTCGCGGGACTGTCCGTAGTCAACCCTTGACATTTTTGGAGTTAGGTCCAGGAGACGAGAGAAGATTGAGGAGAGAGGCTAGAGAAAAGGCAGTGGCAAGGAGAGCGAGGGCAGCTGAGGAGAGTGCTAGAGCTAGAATTTCAGCTAGCATCAGTACAGCCATCGCTACCTCATCTATGACGCAGCCCTCTACACATCCCACTTTGTCAGGATTCGGTCAGAGTGGTGCTCAGACGGTCACTAGTCAGATTGGTCATGTGCGAGTCAGCCAATCTCCTATCACGCTAGAGGACTTGGAAATCCGGCAAGCAAAAAAACTTCAGGCTGAGCTACAGCGGCAGATGGATGAAGTAATAGAAAGGAGAAGAAAAGCTATGCAACGAAAAGCTAGTCTAGTAAGTAGATTGCAGGAGTTAGGCAGGCTGGAAATACTAGATGAGGCAACATTAGACCCTGTTGTTCGTGTGCTGCGAAGCGCCTTACTTTCAATGGTGGAAGCCCAAAGCGTTCAACAGGAATTGTTGGCTAATTTGGTAGCAGGCCAGAAACAATTTCTGGCTGAACTTAGGGGCATTCGCCCAACGGCGAGCCCGCCACAATTTGCTATAGTTCCCCCTGTAGGTGCGGGTCCATCTTCGATGCCGCAACGCACAGGGCAAACTTTCTCTCCCATGTTTGGCATGCCCTCTCCGGGTGTTTAGGTGCAACTAGTCTACAGCCCCACTGTCCGGTTCATTCTGTCTCAGTCGTACCGTCTAGAACAGTGGTCACTGCAATCCCACTGTCCAGCCATGCCCAGGATAGTTTGCAACAGCCTGTTTCAGTGGCTATGCAGCCGCTGCATCAAGCACCTGGGCCCATGCAGCCGATGCAGTGGATGCCCAAGATACCTCTAATGAGTCCCAAGCCTTTCTATGGAGACAAGAAGAGGGAGGTAGACTTGGACACCTGGGTGAGGACTGTGCCTACTTATGTGAGGCACAAGCTCACAAGGGCAGAAGAGGAAGTGGTAGTGGCTGCCTCCTTTTCAGAAGGATCAGCAGCCCGCTGGTTGAATGGCTTGGAGCAGCAACAGGGCTACGGTCAAGATTTCGATGCCTCGGCTCACTCTCAGACATTGGAACAGTTCGTACGGTCTATCTACAACAGATGGAATGACCCGCAAGGGGCTCAGAACGTCACCGATGTTATCAACAACCTTTGTTCCCGTAGGTTCAAGGTTGTTAGAGAGCTTACAGACACCGTAGAACGCCTTCTCGTGGTACCTGGTGTGCGTTTTGACCCGCAGGTTCTCCTAACGGATTACCTAAGGTGCCTACCTACAGAGGTAAGGACCAAGTTGGTCGATGAGGCCTATATCGACCAGCACACTTTTGCTWCTTTTAGTAAGAAAGCAYTGGACATAGAGRCAAAGCTAGGATCTGCGCATAAGGCATCCAATGATGGTAGGAAGAGACTGCCCCAAGATAGRAAGAAAAAGGGTCAGTTAATGTTCGTTGACCACGATGGTCAAACGACGGAGATTGACGACTACTCAGATCTTGGGGAGTTCACAGAGCACGATGGAGGTGGTGAGACTTCAGATGGTGGAGTCGTGGCACCCATCAAAGAAAAGGCTGGGGGGACCGGGAAGAAGAAGGTAGTACGGTCCACGGGTCAGGGCGACCAAGGAACACCCGCATGGGTAAAGATTGGTTTACAATACAAGATGTGGCGTGACCGCGTTGCTAGGGGTACATGCATGAAGTGTGGCAACTTTGGTCACACGTCCAGGACTTGCCGCGGCAAGAAAGTCACAACGAAGGTAGCCTCACCAACGGTGGTGGGCTTACCTTCGAACCCAGGGAGTGCTTCAGCGAGCAGCTCACAGGGAAACACCCCGGGCCAGTAGGAGTGTTAGCCGCTCTTACTCGCGATGAAGTGGTAACGTTGCCTTCCTCACTTCAGGCGCTGGACAAGGCTAGTGACCCACGTCTCGCCCCGCAGACACATACAAACCCACCGACGCTCTGTTCGAAAGATGTGTCTGCGACCCTAGAAGAGTTAGAGACTGAGTGGTCAGGGAAGGACCCTACG